CCCATTTGCCTCTGGTTAGGGCTACACTGGGCATTTCCCAGGCGTCTGTCACAGTCGTAGCATTGCCAGCTGGCGGCTCCGGTTCCACTGGAGGTAGGTGCCGTTGCAGATCCAGCCCAGAACGGCGGGTGACCGGCCGAGTCCTGTCCCTGTGAGCTGCCCTCGGGACCTGCCGCCCGGCTGCGGAGCCGGCTCCCCGCTCAGTAACTCGCCCACAGGCCTGGCGGCGCCTGGCCCGCCCTCCGGGGACTTAGTACACGGACGCTGCCTCAATTCCAACAAACACTTCTTGAAGGGAAATAGGCTAGTTTTAATCATTGGAGGCTAATCATACTAATAAGTATGAGAAAATTTTGTTTCATTGTTTTTCGAGTCTGGGAAAACTTAAAAAAACTCTCTAAAAATCAGTCACAGGTTAATGAAATCACTGGGTGCTCCGTATTGGAAAGCTGCTACCAATTCAGGCTAATATGGACCTATTTCCTAATGAGTAACACTGTTTCGTTTGTGTTAGTATATTCCGGGCAGACTCCGTGTACCATACTAATAACAAAGGCACTGAAACCCAGAAACTTGCCCAGGGTCACCTGTGTGCTCAAAGGTGTTGAATCAAGGGGGATAATAGAAAGAGGATGATATGTGCTTACTATTTCAATGTTCTCTTAGGTTTAAGAAGAAACAATAATTTTAAGCAGAGAAGCAGAGGATTCCCCAGTGTAACTAGGAAGTTTCACAAAATGATTTTTTCCTTGTCAAGCATTTAATTTCCTGTACTGCATATCATTTTGAAGGATTCTCTTTCGAAAAGACAGCTGTTAACCTGCTAAGTGAAATTTACATTCCACAAATATTTGAGAGCATGTTATATAAATCTTATGGGAAAAGAAATTGGTACTCGAAAAACTTTGCTCTAGTAAAGGACTTTGGACAATTTCGAGGGTCAGGCAGAGGCAGGATCAGGTGGTGGAGGACATGCTTTTTAAAGTTAGTCTCTCACTTTTTCACCCATTCTCTAGCTTACTCTTCATCTAGCCAGGATTCCTAGTACAGCACTGACCGCATAGTAGGAACTTGAATGTTCACTGAATGGGTAATTTTTGGCTAGTATTAAATAGAGAGGATTTTGAAATGGACTAGAATGTGAGATAGCATGAATCACAGTGCTAAGGAGAATGCTGAAGTGTAGATTGTTCTCAGACTTCAGGGAACGTGGCCATGTGTCCCCTGGAGTGGCTGGTGAAATCCAATGGTGTAGTAGTGTCCAGTTGTAATCACACGATTCTATGTTTATGTTAATTTAAAGTAATTGTTATTGATATAAACACAAAGTAATTGTTGAGAAATTACAAATCTTGAAGGTGTGGACACACTTATAGATATCCTTGGACTTCAGTTTGAAAATTACAGTCAAAGGTATTTTGGCTTAGTAGTCAAAGCAACCACCAATCTGCTTTGTAGCCTGGACTGTTTCTTAGCCTCTTTGGGCTTCAGTCTCCATTTTCCTATAATTAGAGAATACATAAAACTAGATTATTTTTCAGAGTTCTTTCTGCTTTGAAGTTTTCCAACTCAGTGAATCCTATAACCACTTAGCACTTGTCTTATCCCTGTGTTGTCTTAGGGGCTATAGTTATTGCTGATATTTACATATCTGTCAAAAGACTAAGCTCTTGCTGGACAGGGATTAGTCTTAGTCATTTTTCTATCTACCAATTTTAGCATATGCCTGACCACATTGGGAATAAAATAATGTTAGCTTAGATTCAGAAGGGGCATTTTTACCATTTCAAAGAATAGCTAAAAACTAAACTATAGTATTGTGTGTAAGTACAGCAGAAATTCAGAGAAGGGAACGATATGTTGAGGTAGAGTAATTGGGAAGGCTTCATGGAGGTCAGACCTTGATGGGAAGGATGTGCCCTTCAGAGGGAAGGCAGGTGAACAACTGGGCAGCACAGGAGTAAAGACCCACTGACGGGTAGGTAAGTGATGCATTTTGAATTATGGAGTGACTTGAAGGTCAGGCATAAGAATTTGAAACTAACTGATTAGGCTCCCCCCCCACCCCCCTTAAATATTATATTAGGTTTGCTCAAAAACTTGATGTAATATAGGAGGGGACCATACAGTTTGCTTTACTTATGATTTTGGTTTTAGTAATTCTTTCTACTTACTATTTCCCACTTAGAGAAAATCTTGGTGCAATAATGGAAAGAACAGTGGACACCAGGATTTAGGAATCCTGGATTTTAGTTAATTGGAACGTAAACTGCACAAGATGGACCCAAGCATGCCTTTGTTACCTGGAACAAAGTTACCTGGCTCAGAACATAACTTTGTTACCTGGCACAAAGTTAGCATTAGTAATCATTGTGCAACACTGAATGAGTTCTCGCTTTGCTACTTGCTAGCTGTGCTGCTTTTGGCTTAGCTTCATCAAAATGAATTTTTTAGGCCTTTTTCACTTATATAGTTCTGTGATTTTGGATGGCTTATGATTTTCTTTTTCAATATGTTTTTATATTGATTTCAGAGAGAAGAAGGGAGAGGGAGAAAGAGATAGAAACATCAGTGATGAGAGAAAATCATTGATTGGCTGCCTCCTGTGGTCCCCCCAGTGGGGACCGTGCCTGCAACTGGGGCAAGGAATTGAACTGTGACCTCCTAGTTCATAGGTCGACGCTCAGCCACTGAGCCACACTGGCTGGGCTATGATTTTCTTTTTATTGTTCACATTACAGATGTCCCTTATTCCCTACCCGTCATACCTCCCCTCTTCCCAGATGTCACCCTTCCCTCCTTCTGGCTTTAACCACATTGTTGTCTGTGTCCATGGAGTATGCATATATGTTCTGTGGCTATTTCTTCACCTTCTTTCATCCCTTCAGCACCCCCGACTCCCCCAAATCTCCCTTCTGACATCTGTCAGTCTATACCATCTATATATATAAAAGCCTAAGCAACCGTTCGACCCTTCGACTGTTCTGTTCGACCAGTAGCTATGATGTACACTGACCACCAGGGGGCAGGCGCTCAACATATGAGTGGAAACCACAGGCATGGAAACATGGAACAGACTGATGAATCTCAAAGGGAAGGAGGGAAGGGGGAGGGTGGGAAGAGATTAACCAAAGATCTTATACGCATACTAGAGGCCTGGTGCACAGATTTGTGCACCAGTAGGGTCCCTCAGCCTGGCCTGCGGGGATTGGGCCAAAACCGGCTCTCCGACATCCCCTAGGGGTCCCGTATTGCAAGAGGGCGCATGGATTCTTTCAGATTGGTTCATGGTTATAATTTTGTTAACCATAATTTTGAGATGGAGCAGGAGAGAGATGATTATTATAGAACACTGGACCAAAGAGTTCATGACCCTGTTGCTAAGACTTGTCTGACTTGTGGTAGAGCTGCTCAGGAATAATAGAGTCTGAGTTTATAGAAAACTGAAGGAAGTAAATTGCCATTCTTTAAAACCCTTTTCCCAATTTCTCTGGGAGATCTGTTTTGGGGTCAGTTCAGCCCAGCCTCAAGGGGCAAGTCTATCCTTGGCTAGATTGAACATGACTCAAGGAAGATGTGGCGAAATCAATAGTTTGATTATGTTGCTGGGTAGCCTGAGATACTAGTTGAGTATAAGTTTATGATTAAAACTCAGTAGGCAGCTCTGCAACCAGATTTTTGTGGAGTCCTTTAGATCCAAGATGGCTCTCGACTGGATAAGTCTACCTAGTGCTTCTCAAGCATTAATCTGTACACAAATCACTAAAAATGTAGATTCTGACTTAATAGGATTTGACTGGGATCCTGAGATTCTGCCTTTCTGATTTGCTCCCTCATGATGCAAGTTTGAGTAGCATGGGGAGAAATAAGATAGGATTTGGGAATTTTTATTTTTTTGATACTTTTTGATATTTTTTGAGGGGAAATTTTTACTTTACTATGGCTTCATCTAAGAAAATAGTGCTTTAACATTAGGAGGCTTTCCTTGGTCTTCAGTGAGTCAGAGCTTCTATATTTCCAACTCCTAGCTTTACCTGAGTGAACCTCTGGGGACCTGCCAGGGTAAGACACTTGCACACCTTTTTGTTCAGATTTCTTGTCTCTTATTTAAAAAAATTCTTAATAGTAAAACAAATTCTAGACCTATTTTTGTAGTTACATTTTTTTTTGTTCTCCCCCAACCCCCATAATATTACTGCTACTAGTTATTTTTAGTCTGAAGTTATGTAAAAATGATACTTTGGAAAATTAAGATTGTGACACAATGAAATACGGGAAAGTTATAAAATTAAAATTTTCTGACGTCTTTTGAATAAATACTTTAAATATACCCTGTGTGCTTTATTAAAGGAAAAGAGGCAGGCAAGTAAAACTAATATAATGTAAATCTAAAAGAAAATGCATTTATTAAAGTAATTATTATAAATTATAAGAAAATGTGGATTTTAGTCTTTATTTTAATAAAATGTTTTTATAATGGTAATTTTCTCTTCTGACCTGTGATGGATAGGAGGTTAATTGAAGTTAAATGGATGCTTTGTTAATCCTTCATCAATTACTAAATTGGTATGGGGGAGTGCAGGTCAAGGCTACACAAGGCCATGACTAGCTTGTTTTCTTTGGGAGGTTTTTTCCTTTCTCCATACCACACATCATTCTGTCTTGCTGTAAGTAGAGGAGACTCTGCTCTCTCTTCCTCCCTCCCCCCTCACTCCCTTCCCTTTTCTCACTCTCTAATCTCCTCTCCCTCCCCAGCCCTCCCTTTTCCTTCTTTCTGTGCTGCAGAGTGACAGCTTGTAGATGTTGCGTGCAAGGAGTTCAGCTGGTGCTGTGTGGTCCCAGTGTGTGGTCTCCACTCAGCCCAGAGGCTGCTAACAGGGTGGATGAGAGAGAGAGCAAGACTATTTACTTTAATTTATTTCGGATGCCGGAATTGTGTCCAGAGTTTCTCCAAAGCTTGATTCCACATAGCTAGTAGCTTCAAATCCCTTACAGCTGTGGTACAGTCTCAGCACTGCAACTGGTCTCTCCCAACAGTCATTTTACATAGCATCTGCCTGTTTAAATCGCTCTCAGCTCAGAAATGTTAATGA